AGTGATCGTTTGATATATGGACCTGCAGCGGAGTTTAGACCCAGACGCGGCTAGTGACGTCAGACTGAACAACCGGATACCAGCGTCATGTATTTAAAATACAAAATATGAGTAACTGTATTCCATTACAGTTACCGTTTAAATAGGTGGTAATCAGAATACAGTTACTTTGTTGAAATAAATAGAATACACGGGGGTCACTTCCTGTTTCATGTTAAGCTGTCCCCTTTCTATGCCTTCTCCAATTTTGGAGATTTAATGCACTCTGGCGCAGGTTTAGCTCAGTTGGATGAACATGTAGTCATATGTTGCACGGCTGAGAGCGGCCGGCCCGGGTTTGAGTCCGACCCCCTCTTTTTTTTTTCTAATTTAATTTCTATCTGGGATTAATTCAGTTTCTCTGATTCTGATTGCTGGAAACACAAACAAAACATGTAACAAGAGGCTCTAATGTAAGCGGCCTGTTAATGTTGGTGGCGTCAGTTACACCATGGACCCAGAGGCAGCAGTGCACAGGCAGGAATGCGTTTCCGACACCACTTCATAAGAAGAATGGGACGGACGAAACTTCAGTATCTTCGATGTACTATTGCTGTGTGATTTTTATTACTATTACTGAAGGCTACCAACATTGTTAGCTTGTTCATAGACTGCAGACTGTTAGGCCATTTTTAAATACTCATGTACACGAGTCCGTACTCGCGTTTTCACTAGTCCGGACTTTGTAAGTTCACACGGGAGTCCGGACTTCCCGAGAACGCAGGACGTGTACAGGACATCACAGCTGCATCCACTGTTAATTTAACTGTGATTAATATTTGCAATGGAAATTACACATGACATAAAAACATGATGAACAACATGATGTAGGTGATTTCTTTAAGAAAAATGAAAAAGAAAACCCTTTCCAACACTGACTGTAAGACTGTAAAATTATGTACGCAAAAATGCTAACAAAGATTTTATTGTCTTTATTTTTTCTCTGATATCTGAGAATAAGACTTCAGAGACATCAACAAAGTTCAGATGTGGGAGGAAAAAAGGCAAATTGAGGTCAAACTGATGTGAACATGCTCTGTCAGGTCTTCCAGTCTGCTGTGTTGTAGCGATGACTTCTTGTATTAAGGAAGAAAGCTACAACAATAGAACAGTTATTTATCAGATCAGCCTCCATTGTAGCATAGATCATTCAAATCGGGCATAATGTAATCAATAATGAAATGTTACAGGATTAGAAGAACCGAAGAGAGGAGTAAGGAGGGAGACTTACAGAAAGGAAGGCGTGCACAATGTCGGCCTTTATGGAGCTGAGAGGTTTGTCTCTGATGACTATGAAGATCTGCTCCTCCTTCTCCAGATTGATGAAGTTTCCAAACCATGACTTCTTAGCCAGTCTGCAGAAAAGATTCAAAGTTTGGTTCCAGCGTTACAAAGCACACTCAGTATACCCAGGTTATATTTTATTAACAACTAACAACTAGCTAAGAAAAGAGGTGAGATTGTAACAATTACAAAGAAACCCAAACAAATGAGACCGATACCTGACTAATAATTGTAACAGACAGCTCCATCACCACTGCTAACTAACGAAGAGTTGTGCAGATGATTACTTTACCTAATTTTAAATTGTTATTATGCTTTTGAAAGATTTGTACTGAAGCATTTTCCCAAAACACAGACCTGATGGGACACACGCGTTTCTCTGTGACTGAGATACTTTCACAGCAAACATGCTTTTCTAGGAAGTGGACAGCTCACGCAGCTTGGCTGGTTATTAATCATGGTATAACTACACAGAATGAGCACATTACTGAGTTCCCTGATAAAATCCCTAATAAAAAAGGGCAATGTCTTACATGCTTATCAATGACTCAGCTAATTAATTAAAAAATAGTTTTCTCCAGCGAAGAAGGCCAAGTGTTTGACTGGGGTAAGATTTGGTTTTGGAGTTTAAAATAACTTGTAGCTGGTGTCGTCTGACTTATGATAACCGTCATTAGCCTGCCTGCTAACAGGGACAAACTGCTAACTGCTAAATAATAAACTACCTAACAACAGGGAGCCTGTTCCTGTGTTTTCTCTGTATTGTTGCAGGATCGTTACCTTACACTATAATACTGTGATTTGGTGTTATATGAATAACATCGAATTGACCTGAACTGAAAAAACGCAGTTCGCTTGCTAACTTAAAATGCTATCACATGGCTAAGTCTACCATTCAGATTCCCAATATGCTAAAATAATGTAGCTGCTGCAGGTTCACATTTGAAACACTTGTGCTGCTATTAAATAAACATAATGGACAGGTGAGGTATTCATGTTTGCTGCTGTGGTACTCACTCTGGCGAGGAGTCTGGGGTGAGACTGGACATATCCTCCTGGGTGGGAACTGTGGACACAAACAGAGGCTAAATCTTAGATTCGGCTCTATAACTTATGGAAACGGCACTTGGGGAGATACTTCTGTGTCTTGTTTTTAGCACTACTAAGCAGATATCATCAGTGTAAACGAGTACTGGGCCTCATCATGACTTAATTCGGTTTGTCTGGAGGGGGGTTGGTTCAGCAGCATCAAAGCAGCTGTAAGAAAACTACCCAAACTAATGAAAAAATGAGGGAAATTTGTAAATTTTCCACTTTCTGTAATGAGGCCGTTATCTTCTTTATGACATGGCCTCAGGATGCAGATTCTCACGGTTAGGCTGGCGTCAGGTTAACTGCAGGTAAATGCAGTCATTAAGAGATTATTTGTCCTTGTTATTCCCCTGAGCTATACGGATGGATTGCATAAACACACTCTGCTGAGTAGATTATCACATGGATAAGAGTAAGAAATTCAATCTGATTAAGCCAAATCATGAGGTTTCATTTCCTGGGCCCTACCTGTCTCCTCCACCATACCTTGCATTTTCCTGCGGTGGAAGCGTGGTGAGCCGAGGAAGCTGTTCTTGATGGAGTTGAGGCGCGTCCTCCAGGGCATGCCACCAATGGAAGGGCTGGGCGGTGGTGTTGGGCTGGGCGTGCCAGCCGGGCTGTCCTTGGGCGTGTGCACTGGGGTGCCTTTGGGGGTTGGGAGTGGGCTCCCTCTGGGGGAGGGGTGGGGAGTCACCTGCGTGATGGGGACAGATTTGGCGTTGTGGTCAGGGTGGAGGTGGTGGCGGCGGAGTGGGGACATCGGAGGCACCGGGGAGAGAGGGATAGAAAGCTTGGGGGGAACGGTAAGGGGAGGGTGGCGCCTCACCCGGGGGCTGTTGGGGATGCAAGGGGCCAGAGGCTGGCTCGGGGTGGAGGGCTCAGATTTAGGGGTGGTGGCAGTCTGGTCCGTGTTAGGGAGTGGGTTGGACCTGGTGGTTTGCAGGGGCTTCTCAGATACTTTGGGCTTAGCAGGGAGGGTCTGTGTGCGGGGGTGCATGATGGGCGAGCCCATCTTTGGCTGGTAGGAGTTATGTGTACGGGGCCCCACCCCATTAAGGCGGACCTCGGGGGAGTGGGTGGGGCTGCAGTTGGGGGACTGGCATAGGTCTGGAGATTGGGGTGGGATAAAAAACCGCCGGATGGGCTGCGATTGTCATGCACCGTCACAGATGACAGCAGGGTCAGCCAATAAAAAAAGCCAGAGGAACACCACGGCCCAATGAAGGTTCATTCCCATTCAACAAAAATAAAAATAAGCAAACACCAGGAAATAAAACAGGAGTGTGGCAGATGGTTGAGAAGTGGAGCAGGCAGGAAGTGGTGAGAGTGCAAGAAAGAAAGAAAGACAGAACATGCGATTAGCAGAGTGATTAAGCCAATCACGAGGCAGCAGTGGAGCATTCATGATGCATTAACAGAAGGGATGCACCGAGATCAACGTGGTCACTTTGTCCACATTCTCATACTGTGTCGCTTCTGCACTGTTACAGCATACACAATATCACAGTCTACCTTTGTTCTCCAAGATTCACCTGGACTCATTACTTTAGTGCATTATAACCATGTAAATCACTGTTTACACGGAGAATAAAGCATCGTACGCTTTATCTAGCCTACATATGAGCTAGCAGCGTGTCCACCTCTTTAAAAGCTAAACCCCTCTGTGGTCACACTGAACACGCCGGAATGTTGCAGCAAATCTCCAGAATGTGGAGAAAGGAACAACTTTTAACTGAAAAGATGAAGGTTTGGAGTTTATTTAAATGTTTTGGCCTCTTAATATCAGGGCCAACCATCAGCTGCACTTCCTGAAACTAAGGCTTTCACCTGACAGAATTCCACTACTGTGAGATACATCGGTGCATCCCTAATTACCAGCAAGTGACCCAGCATGAAAGCTAACCGATTTAGCTTCACCCTCCACCTGGGAAAGCAGCCAGAGTGCATGCCCAGTGCTGACGCACAATACTGTGGGATGAATGAGCAGATCACTGATAAGACAGGTCAGAGCAGTGAGAATCCACAGCTGAACAAACTGCAGCAGCACAGCAGACCTCAGCAAATCAAAAACAGCGAGGCTGCAGAGCCTGTGGTGAGCTGTCAGCCTGTTCTTGGAATAGCACGTGCAGCTGATCTGCATAAAGTAATACAGTCATGTCTGTGTAAGAGTTTAACACTGAGAGTTCTGCAGTTCTGATTCAGTATTTTCTCATTACCGAAAAAAGAAATGCATCAGAAGACTCAACAGCTACTCATTGATTCTTATCAGTAATTAAAACAGTAACCTTTTTAGGAAGTTTCAAAAGCATCCTCTCTTCAGCATGTATGAAACAGACTGAGCAAATAAACTCAGGTGGGTCTGTTGAACGAATCAGCATCACTTATAGAAAGAGGAGCTGAAGATTACAATCTATCTCCTCTTTAGTTCGCTGTGTCACACATCACAATGTGCGGCTCACAAGGACAAAACATAAAACTTCAGCACGTCCTCACAGGATAGAAAATGTTACGATACCCAGCCTGTGCTCTTTCTGAGCGTTAGTTAGTAAAAATGAATGACTTTAAGGAAACAGCAAAGCAGCACCTGGAGGCTGTGAACTGATTCACACACTTCTCCTCCCTGCTTTGACTCTGCAGCAGGGTTTTCTCAGAGACTGACAGACGTGTTCTTCCACTAATTTGCCACGTCATTAGAATCTCTTCTTCATGGATATTAATCGCCAGATCTCAGTTTGGTCTGCGCTCATAGATGGATCTGGTCCCGCTTCATCTAAAGCTCTGTGTGACGTACAGCGCAGCACACACTGGGTTCAAATGATCCTAAATCAGATCAGCCTGCTGTGAATAACAACGAGAATAAAAAGAATAAGAACAAGAAGCCCTTTATTTATTTCACAGCTGCAGAGCAGTTAGATGACAATATAGATAAAAAAAAGGGCATCTTTTATTTTCCACAGATGACCAACTGACTATGATTTGTTTTTCAGTAATTTGGTGGAAACTGTTTTAGTTAGTAATGGAGCGACATCATCATCAACCCAACAAACAGCATCTGTTAAATGTCTTATTACGTTTCCCCTGACGATTTCACCATTCACTTTTTAAACATAAGTTATTACAGTGAATTATACACCAAATATTTGTTTCCAAATATTTGGTTTTAGCCAATATTTAGAGTTTATTCAGAAGAAGAAGTGGTTCATTGGAAAGAAAGGACAAAATGCAAAAAGTATTTGATTGTTTGGGTGACCAGCCGGAACCCAAACACACAAAAAACTTTAAATTCAATCAACAGGCAAACAGTAATTTATCCTTGTAGCGATGAGGTCGCTGGCGTATTCTAGTGGCTCATTAGGAAAACTGAGCGTTTATGACATATGACTGAAAAAACATTTCATTTACTACAATGGAAGACTCGATAGATACTTTTTAAAAACATTTTTCCCTGAAAACTCAAATTATTAAGCTATTAAACTTCGATCAGTTACATAAATTAATTGACTATTTACCGCAGCTGTACTGTTATTTTACCAGAGGACTTGTTTTTTATGGTTAGTGATTTGTTTTGTCGCTACAGTGAGCGCTTTGTGGGGATTTTTATGACAGATACTCTAATATCATATGTGCAGAACTTGAAATTTACTCGAGTTCCTCCTGCTAATGTTAGCTGAAGCCCACACTGACCAGCTGCTAGAAAATTACTGACATGTTTTTTCCTTCTGCTTTGACTTTTTCAATAAAACTAAACGAAGTCTTATGAATCCTCAGCAGGCTACCAAGAGAGAACTACAAATGGCTCTCAGATGGACTTTGTTAGTTGTATATAGTCAGCTTTGGCCTTTTCATGCTTTAGTTAGTTTAACATTTCCAGATTGGCTTCACTGCAGAGTTCTTCTTTCTTCACCTGCCCGGACATGATGTACAACTCGTTTCCCTCATTTAGGCTGTGCTGTACGTCAAACAGGCTTATGATGAAGTCCACAATGTGAGCTGCTGATGGGAGGCAATGGGAGGGAAATGTGAACAAGTATGTGTGTATGAGCGGAACAATATGCCAGCAGAGCCAGTCAGCCAGCAAGGTGCTTGTGGGGAACCAATCACTGCATGGAAGGGACGTATACTTACCCTGGGACTGCTGAGAGGACTGGTGGACAGACCAGAGGACGCTCCACT